ATGACTTTTAAAATATCAGCGTGCTAAAAGCCGAGTTCAGCTTACCTTGGCGGAGTTGACAGATGACATACATACTAATTGTTAATTGTGATATTATTCATTTGAATCTGCAGCTACCTGCAAAAGCCAATAACCTAACGTCTTTGTTCATCTGTGATATTCTCAGTTTTTCAAACACCAGCTCAGTCAATTTCAGAAGAAGCAATGTCTTGTTATATAGGGAGTCGGAATATTTTATGATAATTAAGAGTCCTCTGATAATTTTACTTTTTTTTGAAAAAAAAAAGGCATTCAAATTCAATAGACTCATTTGTTTCAAGCAAAAATATCCAATAATCAGTTTCTTTTTACATCCAATAAAAAGCTGCCAGATTTGTATACAAAGGGTGTTTATTTCATTGAACATCTAATGAATAAAAATATTCTGCAATGTTTTGCTTAACGTACCACTCTAATAACGGCACGCGTTGCTTCCAAATTCATAACACACGTGTCATACATTTGAAGTTTGCTATTTTGCTTCACGGACCTCAGTAGGAAGAACAAAGGATTGCTGCTCGCTCATTCCACATCACACGAGCCTCTTGAAGAGCGAAACTATCACTAAATCAGATTCTCGTTAAAGCTTTTTAAAGATGTTTCGTTCTTGGTGGCTATCGCTGTTAATCTTAGGCATTGCCGTTAGTGTAGTTTTGACACATGATGATCTGCCGCCCGGACATTCCGAAGACGAACACGACGAAGAACCCGAAGATCAAGCTGACGAACAGCATCCTGATGAAGACGAAACTGCAGATGAGGAGAAAGACGACAGCAACGAGGAGGAGGAAGATGAGGATCAAGAAGAAGAGGACGAAAGTCAAGGAGATGAGAGTGATGATGACACTGATCAAAGCCATCTTGAACACGATGCTTTTCTGGGTAAGTAACATGACGTACAAGGTATAATCAACTAAAACGCGGAAAAACTCATGATTTAAGTTTAATTTAACTCTTGTCGTGCGGAAGAAAAGAGCGCAACTTCTGAAACTAATTAACCGTCGCACATTCATAACAATGTCAAGTGTTGATAGTGTTTGCTCTACGCCTACCATGACAAGTGTGAATGGCAAAAAGAGGTCTAAACTGCATTTATTTTCAGTTGAGTTATAAGGAAAAATGTTTGGCGAAGTTAAATTTTTATTTATTCCTTTAACTCTTACAGTCAAAAATGTTGAAGTTATCGTTTTAATTAATCTTAATCAGACTTGATGACTGCTGAAATGCAATCACAGTTTGCGTCAGTTAAGGAAAGTGGTAATTATAGTAGTGAAACTTGAGGTTTGTTCCGAGAGATCCCCCAAAGGATGGAGACTCGCAGAGGATCGTTAACGTTTTTGATATATATTCCATTACGGTATGTAATAAATAATTAAACACTTTAAAAGTTACAAGGCTGTTTTACAAACTAAAGGGCAACAGGTGGTACGAGAATCTAAGTGCTGTGTTGCAGGTGATTTATAAAAAGTACATGCAAGCGTGGGCTTCTTTAAGGTTACAAAGGACCGGCAAGCAAACTACCACTAGGGGTGGGGAAGGAGGGGAAGGGTCGGTATAACTAGGAGTAGGGGAAGCCGGGATCGAGAGGTTGATTGGTTAAAGCTGTTTTGGTAACACTTTGCACAATATATATTACTATCCAGTGGATAGCGTAGTTTGTTTTGTGAGCTACGTTTCCACTGGCCAATAGCGTTATCCAACCTTTGAACAACTGGGTCCAGATGCTGGAATGATATTGCGGTATTCAATATCGTCTCATTGTGGAATGTGTCATACTCTCTTAGGGGATAACTACACAGAATTCAAAGGACTCTCACCAGAAGACGCCAAAACTAAATTGGCGCAGCTTATAAAAGATGAAGTGGATTTGAACAAAGATGGACTCTTGACTGAAGATGAGATCAGACAGAGGTTCCATGTAACAACAAAAGAATACAGGAAAAAAGAAGTGATGGAAACCATGAAACAACATGACGAGGGTAAGTTTATGCATGTGAACATGAATTGAAACGTTCTAAAACCATTTCAACAGAGAAGTGACTTTGGTCTTGGCTCTAGCTAGTCTGTTGGTTAATAAGGGTACCTAACTCGTCACGCAGTTCGTCTGATATTGTGTTACATGGCGTCCCAAAATGACTGCGAATAGACTGTGACAAGTCAATTACCTAATGAGGTAGTGGCTTTAAGCAGTTTGACAATATCAACCCAAGAATATCTGCAGTAAAAAGCAAAGAATATCTTCAAAATAAACATTATTAAGTCAGCTTTTGTTGTCCTTTATTCCGGTACAGATAAAGATGGAAAAGTATCGTGGGAGGAATTCAAAAAGGGTCACTTCTCCGATGATGGTAAAGACGATGACATCAAGGAACAAATGAAAGAAGATGAAGAGAAATTTAAATTTGCTGATGAAGACGGAGACGGCAAATTAGATTTAGAAGAATACTTGGCCTTTTATCACCCTGGGGTAAAAAGAAACCGTGCTTTTCTTTGAACAGTTAATTAAAAAATAAATTTCTAAAAGTTGATATTTTCATTCGCGTAGGATAATCCACGGATGGCGGAGTTTACAATAGAAGACAGCCTTAAAAAACACGATAAAGACAAGGACGGACAGATATCAAAGAAAGAATTTTTAGGTGAGCTGATCATCTTGGTTTCAATAAAAGAGCTAGAGAGAACTTTTCTCTCATTGACTGAGATCACCAAGTTTAGCTTTCCTGTTCACCCACCACTTGGGTCACCTTTTTAGTGAATGATCTCACACTATTGTCTCAGTTTTCAGTCAATGTTAGACGAATGAGTCCTGGAAATGATTTGATGACGTCGCTTTCGAACTTGGAGAAATTTCAAATACCACCTGTACCTTTACCAAGCTACTCAATTCAGAAAAACTGAAAAGAAACTTAAAAAAAAACAAACAAACAAACAAACAAAGAAGAAGAAGAAGAAGAAGAAGAAGAAGAAGAAAAGATCACAGGAAAACACGATAAACTATGAAAGAAAAAACTGAATATAAAAGCTTCTTTTGTTGTGTTGCAGCCACATTCAGTGATGTAAACGATGATGCTAAAGAAGAAATGGAGAAGGATTTCACCACCAACTTTGATAAAGACAAAAGTGGTAAATTGGGCAAAGAAGAGATGAAAAGCTGGCTTTTCCCTGACGATGATTTCTCCATCGAGGAACCAAAGACACTCATTAAGGAAGCTGATGAGAACCATGACGGCAAACTCACCATGGATGAAATTATGAAAAACTATAAAGTTTTCATAGAGGATGAACAAGACGATTCAAACCACGACGAATTATAAACTCTGTTTTCCTACTGTCAGGATAAATTAGGTTAAGAAAATATTTGGTTGAAAAATAAGTCATCGAATGAAAATGATGTACAATTCAGTAATACACGTATTCTTTACCTATGAACCTTGAAATTATTTTAAATAATTATTATAAAGAAAGCTTCAAATGTTTTCTAGAGCCTTCCCCAGACTTTGACTTACAGTTTATTAGATAAAAATAAAGAACAATGTCAGTTCTGACATACATTTACCTGGCCTCGGTGTGTTGATTTCCCTCCGGCAAAACAAAGGTGATCTAGCTGTATCATTTTTGCCTGTTATTTGTTTTACTTGGTAATGATTTGCCTGTTGTCTTTCTAATCAGTTCAATAACGTAACAGGCGCGTGTCCAGATCGCTTTACCCTCCAAGTCAGCGAGGCGGGAAAAAAAAAGGCACCTGGGGTCGATTTTGACAAGTGCATATGGACGCCTTCCCGCTATTTTTTGTGTTCCCGAATGCCGAACGAATGTTAGAAAACATTTCAGCGCGAACGCTTCCATCGCAAACTCATTCATGCCCTGTTAAAGTTGTTTTCGTTTCAGAAGACATGTTGACGGGATGGGAGTTTGTGATGGTCTGCCGGAGCTTACTACAATAAATTATGGTTACGGCCGAAAAACAAACAAGCGAAAAAATCGTGCAAATTATACAGTATTGCAGTCTCCTCACTTCTGGTTGCGGTCTCTTGGCTGCATCCCCTGGGGGCTGGGTCTGCAGAGGAGCAAAGGAGAGCTGCAATTCAAGACATTCAAGTGACTTTTCGATTTCAGTTCAAAGGTTTAACCCCGTCACTGGTACTAGTATAGCTTGCTCGAGCTCTCTTGGTGGTAAACAATTTTTTCTGCTCTTCATACCCTTTAGTCAATCCTTGTCAACTTTCAAAACTCATGGTGTATGACATTTGCAAACTGCAGAGTGCAGACTTTTTCACTCCATATATAACATTCCAATTTCCATCACCGAGAGCTAACCGTAAATTAAACAGGCTAACTTGAGTGCTATTCAGGCTGTCTGTACCTTTGGATCCTGGGGTGCTCTGTTTCCTCATCCACTATCCTAATTCTAAGATGGTGGCAGCAACGATTTTTGCGCAGATTATCATTCTAATCCATTAATGGCTTAATAGCTGGCAGGCTTATTGAGAAGTAATACAAAATAATAATTTGACGGGAAATAGAGCTTGTGATTGGCTTAAGATGATCACGTGACCACTTTCTCTGTTCAAAGTAGCGCCGAGGAAGCAAGAATACACCGGCATGGCGTACACAACTCCCGGCGGAAAGAAAAGAGTTTGCTACTATTACGATGGTAAGCGCCAAATTTTCTCCCAAACTCATATTTCTTGTTTAAAACGTGCTTAAGACTAGTTTGTGTAAGTTTGAAGGCTTATTTGGGTGTTAAAATAGCCTAATTTTATCTTCGTGTTCTTTCGTCTTTTTCGCGTTCCAAACAAAGGTGACATCGGTAACTACTACTACGGCCAAGGCCATCCGATGAAGCCACATCGTATTCGAATGACCCACAACTTACTTCTGAACTATGGTTTGTACAGGAAAATGGAGATCTACGTAAGTGTGCTCTCTGGATTTCTTATTTGAACAAGCGGTGCTGAGCTGGACTGTCAGTTATTTCTTTCGTTTGAATGAAATGTCATTCGTTTATCCCTTTTCACGCTTTTTCAATTTAGCGCCCGCACAAAGCAAACTTGGAGGAGATGACCAAATACCATTCAGATGATTACATCAAATTCCTGAAGACTATAAGGCCTGATAACATGTCAGAGTATACAAAGCAGATGCAAAGATGTGAGTACAAAAATTATTGACTAAGCATGCATGCGGTTTCCATTTCCTCTTGTGTTCTTCAACTTTCGACGTATGAAAATCAAAACAATTTAGCTGAAGTATTCCATCTGAAATATCAGTTCTCTACCTTGCTAGGTAATGCTCTACATGTTTGATGTCCACTGTGGAAGAGGGAACAATTATGATGCATTTTAATGTTATGATGAAGGGTTTTCCCTTTGGACAAGTTCCTGTTTACCAAACATAACTTATTTTAAGAGAACTTTTCGATTTGATCCAAAATGTTATCTATCGCATTGAATACATGATAATCATGCATATGGAAACTGTTTTGCTGGTTAATCTTTAACTTGTCTCCTCTTCCGATAGCTGTAAGTGTGATTATTGTTACTAAGTAGCAGATAATAGGAACTAGTACAGGAGAGGTGAACAATTTAAGGCTCTTTCAGATAATACCATAAACTGCTGCGTATAAGCCCCCTCTCCCCCCAGAAAGGGGGGAGAGGGGGCTTATATGCCCATCTAACTGACTGTGAACTAAATATTACTTCTGATTGTAAGCCCCCCCCTCTAGCTTTAAATAAAAGTGAATTTGATCTTTTTTGATGGTCTTTAAAGCTTAATTTATGCAAAACTAGTTTTTCTATTTTGCATCTCCTTTGTCCTCCTCCTCCCCCGCCCCTCTTGTTTATAGGCCAATCCAAAATCCCTTGCAAAGCTGCATAACCCTAGGGCTTACAAGCAGCAGTTAAAGGTATGGCATCAATAGTAAAATTGTGTTCTTTTTTTGTCAGTCAATGTAGGGGAGGATTGTCCAGTGTTTGATGGTTTGTTTGAGTTTTGTCAGCTGTCAACTGGTGGATCTATTGGTAAATGAGAGTCGTTGTTTTAATGAAACTAGTATCTTCTGTTGTGATCTGAACGTCATTTTAGAAAAACATTATGTGAACTTGAAATTGTGTCCTTCCTTGATTTTCAGCGGGAGCTGTGAAGCTGAATAAACAGCAGACAGATATTGCTGTCAATTGGGCTGGTGGCTTGCATCACGCCAAGAAATCTGAGGCATCAGGGTTTTGCTATGTCAATGATATTGTTCTGGCAATTCTGGAGCTACTGAAGTAAGTGTTGAATAGTGTGCTTGTTTTTAAACTTAATATAATTTTCTCTTGCCCTGATTCATTCTGTTTGTCTGCTCAAAGACCTTTTCTTTTATTGTCTTTTATTTTCTGATTTCAGCTTAGATTCACAACCCAATTCCCTAAATCCTTCCCTGTTATCGACACATAGTGTATAGAAACCACTGATATTGACTATTATCAGCACTAATGTTGAATTTTTATTCTACCAGATACCACCAGCGTGTCTTGTATATTGATATAGACATTCATCATGGTGACGGAGTAGAGGAAGCGTTTTACACCACTGATCGGGTCATGACAGTGTCATTTCACAAATATGGAGAATACTTCCCTGGGACTGGAGATCTTAGGGTGAGTAATGTTACCCAATGTACTAGAGCTTTAAAAATGGAAACTTCTCTTGAACCTGAACAATTATCTCATGAAAGGTTGAAGAAAGTCAGGGTCGTAGTTAAGAAAATAGTCTTCCAGCTAAGATTTTCTTTGAGCCTGTCACCATTTTTCGCGAAAGACCTGGAACAAAATGTCCGTCTCTAATCTTTTGCAATGCCTTGAATGCGTGGCTACCATGCATCGTGTTTACAAGATGGGGGATGAAGTACATGGAAAGGGAACACGCTAAACAAGTGGTCAAAACAACATTTTATTTAAATTACTTTATTTGTTAGAGTGGCACTGATACTCAAGGTAGTCAGGAATTTATTCCAAACTTTTCATCTAGGCAGTTCGATATGGTTCAAATATCGGATGATTGTACATGTATGTGACTGTGTAACCCAAAAAAACCATTTGTTGTTTTTTACTGAGTGATTGCCCACCAAAATCCAGCCGGCAATCACCTCTTTCTCAGCCAGTGAATTTTGCAAGCAGCCAGTGCTTAGCGTCAACCCTGGAAAGGTGGTGAAAAAGAGCTTCCATAGATTTTGTTACTCATATACTTTATATGATGGTAGCCTCTATAATTATTCACTAAAAAAATGGTAGTCCACAAAGAGGAATTTTATATGCTCTCTTGTAAGATTGGGAATTTGTTTAGATAAGCACTGCTTGAAAGCTGTATGTTTACTTGAATCAGTAAAATTCATATTTCTCTCTTCCTAGGACATTGGAGCAGGGAAAGGAAAATATTATGCTGTGAACTTTCCACTCAGAGATGGAATTGATGATGAGTCTTATGAACAAATCTTCAATCCTGTAAGTCCGAGCTGTAACATTTTATGTAGGACATTATGTTCATATAAAGAAAAGGTTTTGTTGTGTTACCTTTATCAGTGTTTATTTGTAAATTCTCCTAAGCCTTTTAAAACGAATAGATCTTGATTAAAAGCCTAATTACCTGGCCCCATTTGTTCAAAAGCCAATTAAAGTAACCCATGGTTAGTGGTTATTCGGCAATTAAATTTCTTATTCCCGGTATAACTAATCGGGGAATAAAATGGTTTTCCTGAAAACAGATTTAATGTGGGATTAACTATCCTGCGATTAAGCTCATATTAAGCCGGTAAAACTGGTCTCTGGTGGTAGCACTAGGGGAGGGAGGGGATAATTATGATGGCTCCTGCAAAATTTATACAAACTTTAACTTGTCGTTAAGTAAAATGAAAAAGAAAGCCCAATTTTGATATCTCAACTATATTTGCTCTCTGTAACAACCAATAAAAATGCTGAAATTGAAATTAGAGTTGTGATAAACATTCTGTGCAAGACAAATGCCGGGCAAAGCTCATGCATCAGCCAGAAAATTTTTCAGCGTTAATTAGTTCTTTACACTTTATAATTTAGAATAGTCTCTATTTGGATGGGCTTATAAAGTAAGTTTGGCTAAGCAAAGAAGAGAAACCGGAGATTGATTCTCTTGATTCTGCTAAACAACTTTTTGAAGAACAAGCAAGTTTGACAGTGAAGTAAACTTTAACAATATTTTGTCCACAAAATACACTCCTTTATCAAGCCAAAAAAGCTTTTAATTCCACCACTCATCTTTCCTTGTACATTACAGCAGAATTGTTGAAATTTCTTGCTTTGCGCTCTTTGTGTAAAAAATTTCGTTGACTGCTGAACTGGGGTCCATCCGTGTTGTGAAAACTCAAAAAACCGCAGGAAAACTGGAGGGAAAAGTGACAGCTATTTTAAAAAAGTAGTCAGGTAGCCAGAATTGCTTTTCTTTCCCTACTGGGCACGGCATTAAAGCAGAATCTACAAACTGTAAGTCCTCCTGAATTAACGAGTTAATCCACCTCGCTAAGTGGGTTAAATCTAACCCTTAGTTTAATCCTTGGATATTGCTAATCAAGCTTCAAGGAACAGAATTTATTCGAAGGATAAATTTATTCTGTCGATTAGGATGATGTAATCGTGAGTTATCGCTAATCGGCTTTCGAACAACCAGGGCCAGAGCAAGAGTGAAAGAAGAAGTGTATAAAACAGTAGGGGGAACTTAGATTTTCCCCTTTCAGAGATTAAATATTTTGAAGACAGTTTCTGTTGTCAATTTGTTCATGGTATATTGTTCAGAGGAGCTGGTAAATATGTGGAGATTTTAATATTTGCAAAACCGGACTACTTCTTTCAGGTAGTTTCAAAGGTAATGGAGGTGTACAAACCAAATGCTGTTGTTCTTCAGTGTGGAGCTGACTCCTTAGCTGGTGACAGACTTGGCTGCTTCAATCTGTCGCTTAAAGGTACAGACCATAATGGCTTAGTTAGGTATCAGAGACTTTTCAAAATACTTGTTAAAGCTATTGCCAAGCAATTTTTGGAGGTTTTCCAATATCTTGTTTTTTGAAGTATGCAGTTCTTCCTTGGGATCATCATTTAGATGTTGCTGGAACAATACTCACAAATTTTGTGGAATTAGGAATCTTGAAAGAATATTACTTGGAACATTTTTTGGGTTGTCTTTGGAGATCTTAGTAATCACTCATCCTCATTGGGCCCACGAGGACTCTTGAGGCCTGAGATCTTAGTAATGCTCAGTCATCAATGAGTTTAATGAGGTCCCATTGATTGTGATTGTAGGGCATGCACAGTGTGTGAACTTTGTCAAGAAGTTCAATCTGCCGCTACTGATTCTTGGAGGAGGTGGATACACTATCAGAAATGTTGCAAGATGCTGGACGTTTGAGACAGCAGTAGCTTTGGACTCTGATATTGCAAATGGTATGTCAAGAATACCAAGTACATATAACTAATTTGTCTGTGTTTGGTAATACTATTTGTATACATAAGTTTCTTCAGTTGGTATATAGTGAAATAATGTAGAAATACCTCAGTATTCTATAGACTTCTACCTCACAGAGTGTAGATGAAGCAAAATTATCAAAACATTATTTTGTACCTCTATGCGCAGAACCAGGAGATTTTTTGGACAATTTGCAGTTGTTGGAATTAGTTGGTTAATTTCCAGCAATGTTATGGTATTTCTCTGATCAGGAACAAAAGTAATTGTATATTTTTAAAAAAATGCAACATTAAACTAGAGAAAATCCTATTGGATTGGCCTCATTTTCACAAAACACAAATGTGGAAAACCCAGCATCTTTGCTGTAACATTTTTTTTTTACTAGGGTGCATATAAACTCTGGCCAATGTTGTATTGTAATATTTCTCTAGAACTTCCATACAATGACTACTTTGAGTACTTTGGCCCAGACTTCAAGCTTCATATCAGTCCCTCCAACATGGCAAACCAAAACACTACTGACTACCTGGAAAAAATCAAGTAAGAATGTTAATTAGTTTTTCCTTACATTTAAAGTAACATTTAAATATTTGCCCTTGTGAGTACTGATGGACTGTTTTTCTGTAACAATTTTTTTTTATTTCTAGACAAAGATTGTTTGAAAATCTGCGAATGCTTCCCCATGCACCAGGAGTGCAGATGCACCGTAAGTGAAAAAAGAATGACACTTTGCTGGATTCTAATCATTCTATGAGAGAGATGACTATCATGATACTGACAATTTACCTCTCTTATCATGTAATCTTGTCTTCACACAAAGCAATGTTTGACATTTGGATGATACTTTTTGATCCATTGTGTTTAGCGATCCCTGATGATGCTCCAGTACTGGAAAGTGACAATGAAGAGGACATGGAGTCAGACCGCAGGATAAGTAGTAAGTGCACTCTGCTTTCCTGAAAAATGTAATTCTCAAAAGTGGTAAGAATCTAATTTCAGTCAAGTGTTTTTGTTTCGTATTTTAGCAAATTCTTATTAGTCAATGAGCTAGAGGCGTTGTAGAGGGAATAGTCAACTTGTCTTCTTCTCTTTGGTTACTGGTATATACATATAGTTTTTACAGAAAATTCAAATGCACTAATTGTCAATGTTCCACAGCCAGTATCTTCTAAATGTGAGTAATCTGAAATGTTCTAATCTGAGTTGTTGAATTCCAGTCCGTGCATCAGACAAACACATTGCACATCAAGAGGAATACTCAGATTCAGAAGATGAAGGAGACAACAGAAGAGATGTTCATCACGCAAAGGAAGTGAAACGTTCTCGTAAGCGAGCCAAAGGATCAGCAACACCTGTTGAAAAGATGGTACCAAATGGAGTTGAAAATGCTGTTAACGACGACTCTAAGTCCTCCGCTGTGTCAAATGAGAGCTCTTCTACAAAACCCAGCACCTCTCCTGTGGAGGAGAAGGAAAAGCCAAAGAGTTCAACCAGCACTCCTAGGGAGGGGTCCCCACAAACAGTGGCCAGCGTCACAGCAGAGGTGTCAACAGAACCAGCTCCTGAACAGGAAGCAAGTAGAAAAAGGTGCCTCCTTTTGTTCAGTTTATCAAGTTGAAATGACGTAGTTATCTGATAATCTGGTGCAATAGAAATAATGGGTACTCTCAGTGTTTCAAAATGCACTTATCAAATCTGAGAAATAAATAAGTAAATAACTCAAATGTGCTACAATCTTTGCATTCTACACTTTCAGTGATTTGGCCCTCGATTTAAATGTTGATATCCTTTGTTGATTCGCAGTCCTGAGGTTGCGGAAGGTCCCCCAGCAAGTAAAGATGGCAACACAGAAGAGGCCATGGAGGTGGAAGAGTCTGAAGCTCCTGCTAACACTGATGGGTAACTACTGATCACTACAAAAATTACTCTGACTGTTTATCCTCCACTCCTGTATGTTTTTTTTGTTACCTGAGGCGAATAGTTCCCAATTTTAACTTTCAGCCAGCAACATATGAATCTAAAATGATTAAATAGTGATTTGACATTGGCAACATTTTCCTCTTCTTGTTTTAAAGCTTATACAGTAATTTGATTTTTCGTACTCGGTTTACGTTGGCTGAAGTTATCCAGACCTGTTTCTACTTTCTACAACGATCACATCAACTTTGCCGGCAATGATCTTTCGATTTTCGTGAGTCTCACGGCGAGTGTTGATTGCAAAGCTTAATTATGGATTACTTGATTTGTATGTCTGATGGCATATTTTCTCGTCTTTCCTTTGCTCAGTGATACTTCATCCAGTGTGGACATCCCTGATGCCTCCAACACAGGTATGTAATATTTATTATCTTGCTTGCTTTCTTTGCCTCAATTATTAACTAAGACGGCTGCGAAAATGTGTAAAGGCGGGAAAAAAAAGAATTGGAAGTTAGGCAGGAAGGGAATGCTGTCACTGCTTTGCTATCTCGTGACAAGCTATGTCAGCTACATGTACGCAGGCTAAAGTTCACATGTAGGCAAAAACGAGTTAACAACTGAACAGCCTTACACATTGTATGTTTTATTTGGAGTTATCGGGATCAAGGAAACGTCAGTGCTGCAACGTATGAACCTGTGGTGAATCTTTCAACTGAGCCAAGTAAAACTGAATTATAATATTTCGTTCTTTCTCTAACAACGGCAACGTGAGAAGCTGAAACTATTGTTGATGTGACAATGTGGCGGATGTGGCTATTTCACCAAATCACGTGTTGAAGGTGGATACCGGATGGTGCCCTTTTTCGGTGACTTGATTTTGATTGTATTCTTTCTGTTTTCTACAGTTAAAAGTAATTCACCCAAGCCTACGGAAGAGGAGGAAAAAGAAAAGGCTCCTCAAACTGAAGAAAGCGAAGAAACTGAAAAAGAGGAGGAGACAAAGATGGAACACTGAACAACAACTCCCCTCACCCTCCCCTAACACTCGATTCCCTCTTGCTGGCTCGCTGCTCCCTCCCGTCCGTCCCAGTGTTTTTTTCGACTCCCCCCCCCCTTGCTTCCTTCATCCACCGTCGTGTATATGTATAGTTTCACGTGTTGTTTTTTACTGGCGTTTATCTTGTTAGACACTGAACGATATTCTTCTGTATAGGTAAAGAATTTTCTCGCTTAAAGTAATAAAAGTATTAAATTATATTCTAACTTATTTGCTGATTGATCGTTGTTTTCTCACAAAATTTCCCTGTTGCCTCTATCACCTCTCTCGAGTAGACATGAATTATTTGGGTGATAAGCTCACTCTGAACGGCGATATCGAGGTTATGGAAATACTAGTGAGAAGTGGAAACATAATCCAAAGGGCGATATGAGGTCAGAGTTAGTCCGCGATCATCTTTTATCGATTTTTACTAGTCATCTTCACCTGCTTCTCAGTCGATCACGCAGTTAGTCATTCAAAGCAACCCCGCTTCGAAAAGCTCAATCAAAATACAGGATATTGCATTTTTATCACAATGCATTGATTACAAATTAGATATTGGAAAAAGTTCACATTAGGATGTATTAAGAATCTCCGAGTGACGGAGTTTTGATTTAGTTTGTTTGAATGCCATACCGGAGGTCCATGATGTACATGGCAACGAGAAAACACTATGCCTTAACTCTTGATTACTTTTACCGAGCAAGGCACGTGTCAAAAGTTATACATCAAAACAATGCCCGTGGCCCATGTCTTGTTGGGTATATAATTCATGGTAGGTTACCATATAGTCTCCCAGCCATATAGTCATCCAGATATCCCATAATAATGCTAACCAACGAAGGACTGCAAAACCTTGTATACCCATGTACACCCTTGTAAACCCTTGTAAACCCCTGTATACCCATACAAACCCTTGCAAACCTCTGTATACCCTTGTAAACCCTTATATACCCCTGTACACCCTTGTAAACCCCTCTATACCCTTATATAACCATGTAAACTCCTGTATACCCCTGTATACCCATGTAAACCCTTGTAAACCCTTGTATACCGATCTATGCTCATACAAACCCTTGTATATTCCTGCACACCCTTGTAAAACCATGTATACCCCTGTATACCCTTGTATACCCATGTAAACCCTTGTATATCCCTGTACACCCTTGTGAACCCCTGTATACCTTGTATACCCTTGTAAACACTTGTCAACCCCTGTATACCCTTGTACACCCTTATAAACCCCTCTATACCCTTATATAACCATAAAACCCCCTTATACCCCTGTAAACCCTTGTAAGCCCCTGTATACCCTTAAATACCTTGGTAAACCCTTTTATCCCTTTTATCCCTCTCTATACTCCTGTAAACCCTTGTAAACTATTGTAAACCCCTGTACACCCTTGTATACCTCTATAAACTCTTGTATACCTCTGTAAACCTTTACAAGGGATTACAAGGAATTAAAAGGGTTTACAAGGGTATACAAGGGTTCACAAGGGTATACAGGGGTTTACAGTGGTATACAAG